GTGGTTTATTGCCCATTTTCTATTTTTTTCATTTAAGGTAGACTATCTTGCTTTAAAGATAAAGGTTTTTACTAGACTTAATGATTTGTCTTACTATGTAGCTAAGCAATTTTTTTTATTTTTTTCAGTTCATTATCTGTTAGCTATTTATTTGCTAAAGTTGTTTTTTATTTTTTCAGCTCATTATCTGTTAGCTATTTATTTGCTAATCTTTTCTCAAAGTCCAGTAAAGAGAAAGTACACTGTTGCCTTTTTTTTTTTTTAAAGGGGAATTTTGGTATAAAGAATTAACTAAGTATGAATTTGTGTTAAATAAATTTTATGGGAGCTACTGTTTTAGGTTAGCCTCCTGTATTAGGCCCCAGCCAAACAGGTGATATAGTTTGGCTCTGTGACCCCACCCAAATCTCATCTTGAATTATAATACCCATGTGTCAAGGGAAGAACCTGATGGGAGGTGATTGGATTATGGGAACAACATGGTTTCCCCCATGTCGTTCTTGTGCTAGTGAGTGAGTCTCGCGAGATCTGATGGTTTTATAAACTACTGGCATTTCCCCTGTTTGCACTCACTCCCTCCCGCTGCCTTGTGAAGAAGATGCTTGCTTCCCCTTTGCCTTCCAACATATTGTAAGTTTCCTGAGGCCTCCCCAGCCATGCAGAACTGTGAGTCAATTAAATCTCTTTCCTTTATAAATTACCAAGTCATGGATATTTTTTTATAGCAGTGTAGAATGAACTAATACAGCAGGCAAACCAGAAGAGAGTCACTTGTGCGAGGTGCCACGTAATCAGACTAAACTTCAAAATTAGCCATTTTCAACTCCCCCGCAAACAAACAAAAAAACAAAACAAACAACAAAAAAAAAAAAACAAAAAAAACAACCCCCAAAAAAACCATTAACTCAGTCAGCCTGAGTCACTATAACACATAAGTCCCTTCTTTTTCAAGTATCTTTGAAAAGGCCAGTCCATTTTTTTTTCTCTGAAAAAAATGCTATCTTCAGCCTTTTTCTGCTATCTTCAGCCTTTTTCTGCCTACAAAGCCAAGCTCTTCTGCTCAGCTCATTGAGAACACTCATTCTGTTTGATAGAACGAAATATTGCCCAATTCTAGAATCACTAATAAAAGCCAATTACATCTTTAAAATTGTAACTTCTTAGTTTTGACAGTTGTTAACTAGTTATTTGAAAAAATCAAACTTTGAGATAAAAATGTAGCATTTGTAGGAAGCAGCTTTCACTCCTAGAAAAGGGAAAATAAAGGAAAGAGGTTAGAACTACTAAGACTTAAATAAATAAATAAAAACCCCAAACTCTTAAAGCTTGGAGGAAGAACCTGTGGAGGTGAAACTCAAATACCTGAGCAGAGGTGGATGCTGCCTGGCTGGTGCTAGTGTCTCTGAGCTTAGAGGAGGCCCTGTGGGTCATAATGCACCCCTCAGGGAGAGGCACTACTGGCTGGTGCAGGTGTTTCTGAGTGAGGGTGTGAGGTGCAGAGCTCCTCTAGCATCAGAAAAACTAACTGGATTCAGCTGCTGCTTTGGAAAACAACCAAGGTTGCTGAGGTGATGAGTGTGGTTGGGTGATGCTGACAGGCACAGCAAGCAGAGAGGAGGCAAACAGGAAGAAGGAAGTCCCTTTTTCCATCTCCAGCCTTTCAACTTCCCTCTAGTATCCCTAATGGTGAATCCAAGCAAGGAGAAACTGAAAAGAGAAAAGAGAAAGTTGGCAGAGTGCCAGCTTCTGCATCATACAGAGTGTAGAAAGATACATTGGCACTGGAAGCACATGCGGTTACTTAGTAGGAGAATAGAGTTTTTGAATTTGAAAGTAAATTATAAATAATTTTAGTCCTTCCTCATTTTGGAAACTCTCGACTACTAGAAAAGAAAATGCTAAAAGTAGTGTATGGAAGATCCAAATCTAGACCCTAGAACCCAGACTGACAGACTCCTGGTCTTCTGCTGTTTTCTATCATTTTAGAACATATTTTCTTAGTTGATAAATCTGGTGTTCCCACTGGACTGTTAATTTTTTACTTACATAACATATTATTCACCTTGTATCTTGAATGACTGTCAAATAGCAGAGTTTCAACAAATCTTCAAGCATGGTTTTCACTTAATCTATTCAGTCCTATTTTACATTTCTTTTTCTGATCCTTTGGATTGTTTTAAAATAAGGCTTTCATTTTGGAATAATTTTAGATTTACAGAAAAGTTACAGAGATGGTCCAGAGGGTGCCCATATGCCCCTTACCAAGTTTCAATTTCCCCTAATGTTATCACCTTGTATTTCCATGGTACATTTTCCAAAACTGAGAAATCATCACTGGTATAATACATTACTGTAAACTAAATTCTAGACTTTATTCAAATTTCACCAGTTTTTTCCATTAATGTCTTTTTATGTTCCAGAATCCAATCCTGTATATCACATTACATTTAGCTATTATGTCTCTTTAATCTCCTCTGAGGTTTGTGACAATTTCTCAGTCTTACCTTGCTTTTCATGGTGTCACCTCTTTGAGGAATATTGGTCAGATATTTTGTGTAATGTCCCTCAATTTGAGTTTGACATTTTTCATTACAGTTATACATGGGTTCTGGATTTTTGAAAAGAATACCCAAAAGATGAAAAGATCTTCTAATCACATGATATCAGAGAGTACATAATATCCACACAGCATCACTAGTGATGTTAAATTTGCTCAATTGGTTTAGTATTTGATCTTGATAGAAGTGACTTCTTAGATGTTACATATGGCATCTGCATTCTTTCTTCCTCATTAAGTCCCCCCAAGTTATCTATGGGATTGATGATGGTTTGTTGTAATTTGAGTATATAACATTTTTCTTGGGGGTATGGCTGGGGTAGAGATTTTCTTGGCATACAGATTTTTCTTGGGGTTAATTTCAACTCCATCCCACCATAGTTGGATTGTAAAGGCAAGCTGTGTACATGATTATTCTACGTTCTCTTCTCTTGCTCCTTCTTTGATTCAGTTACGTTTTGCTTCTATACAGATGGAACTCTTGGCCTCTCTCTTTTTGAGTTTCCTACTCTTATGACTTCAGAACTGATGTTTGTATTTCAAACCTTTGTCTATTTATGGTTAGTTTTCCCTAGGAGTTCTCACTGGAGAATCTTTGGCAGTATAACCACCTTAGCCAGTTCCTAGTGCCTGTATATTTCACCCTCTGGCCTAGTTCTGTATGAGTGGGCATTTGAATATTTTGTCACGCATCTTTGATGTGTAATTGCTAGCACAGCAACATGGATGAATTACTGACTGCTCTTTAAACCCTAAGTCTGGGGTTCAGGACTATGGAGAAGAACATGGCCTTTGTGTCCCCACTTTGATATAATTTCTAGGGTTGGAACTATTCACTAATTTAGATCAGTTATTTGCTTTATTTGTATTATTTTTTCCATGCCACAAAACAGTGATTAATAAAATAATTCTCACTAGCTCAAAATTTTTTTGCTAGTGAGAATATTTTTGCTAGGAGAAGCATTATGAATGCCTCATAATGCTTTAAAAGACGTGATCATTTCATTGCTATCTCCAGGGAGACAGTGTAGAAGGTGTCCATGGCAGTGTTGGTTTTAGTGTAGGGAAGATATGATCTTCAAAATATTAAACAACTGCATCGATCAGAACAGATCCTGGTCCCAGGGTTGGAGCAAGATCCTGGAGACTCCTGCTGTTCCAGGCATTAACTTTTAATAGCTGATTCATGAGGAGCTCTGAGGAAGCAACTTGGAAGCAGATGAAACTTCAAGAGGCTTGTGACAGTGGCTATATTCTAACCAGTGTGCAAGTATTTTAAATTTTTAACAACTGGTATTATTACACTGGTGTCTTCTAGCTAAATATTAACACTATTGGTATGTGAGGGTTGAAGTTAGAAGCAAGGTCCAATACTTGATTAATCCAATCAGTGACCCTGAAAATCTTGGGGGTGATCAGGGTACTCAGAAAGTCAGAGAGTGGTGCATACCCACCATGGAATGCTCTGTGGTATTTAGAAGTGATATACTAGATATACATATAGCAACATGAGATAAGTGGAAAAAAAGAATTAGAATGAGATGTAGAATACTATTTTATATGTATATGCATACAAACAATACTATATGTTTCATGATAACACAATAGCAAGACACGCTTAGAAAACACCAGAATGGCTGTCTTTGAGAGAAAGGGATTCAGAATGGAAATTAAAGGGGATAAGCAAGTAAAACAAGCGTGCTTGTTGTAACCCAATGATCATTGCTTGTTGATCAATTGATCAATACTTATTGTAAACCAATGGTTATTAAGAACCATGGACAGAGACACATGATTACACCTAAGATTAAAAAACCACACAAACAAGTCCTGTTGCTTCCTCTTAATATTTTGAAGTCAATCCTTATTCATATTATTCCTGCTTGCTAACGACAGACATAGTAAAAGATAGTGGAATTACTTCAACAACTGGATTCTTTTATTAAATTCAATGAATATAGTCGTCTTTGATTACAGAAAACTGCAAGTTGCTTTTGAACAAATGAATATTAATTAGATAAAGCCTATATCTTCAAAGTGCTTGGTACAATATATTAAATTTATAACTTATAAAAGTCACATTATAAGATGTTTAAAAATTTTTATAGTTTACTATTTTACTTGCCTACTTTGTTCATGTACAGATAAAATTTATATTTATAAGGATTCCATATGATTTTTATGAATCTCTTGGAAAGTGTGTATTATTGGATTATCTGGAGATACTTTCATTTATCATGATATGATTTAAATTGTCAAAGATTGTGTCCTTTGCAGGGACATGGATGGAGCTGGAGGCCATTATCATTAGCATACTAACTCAGGAACAGAAAACCAAAAGCCACAGGTTCTCACTTATAAGTGGGAGCTAAATGATGAGAACACATGGACACGTAGAGGGGAACAACACACACTAGGTCCTATTGGAGGGTGGGAGGAGGGAGAGGATCAGGAAAAATAGCTAATGTGTACTAAGCCTAATACCTCAGTGATTAAAAAATCTGCACAATAAACCCACACGACACATGTTTACCTGTGTACCCACACATGCACCCCGACCTTAAAATAAAAGTTAAAAAAGAAAAATAACCCAGGAAAATAGAAAGAGGTAGAGATTGATTTTTCTTAGAGATTCTAGAGTCATTTCTTCCTCCTGTGACTCATTATCAGCATTTCTTCTATGTTGCTTTGCATATATTTCTAGGAGACAATTTCTTGGCTCATTGACTTTAGAGTTGCAGTCCCAGGTCATTATAGCTTTATTAGGTCACTATCCTCCAGTGCAGTTAATTAGCTATTTTTTCCATTTATATAAATACTTTAAATTAATCTGTGTGTGCTTGAGATGATAGTCTGTAAATAGCTACAAGGTAAGGATGGCATGAAGTTCACAACAGGAACAAGGTAAACTAGATAAACTTCAGCTGCAGGAAAGACTCAGGTAACAGTTTGCTAGCCTGGGGCAGAAAGAAACAGGTGGTGGTTGTGCAGAAATGATCACAGCAAAGGAGTAAATATGAATTAAGATGGATATGGAGAACAAGAATTAATCTTAGTTTTTTAACTAAAACTTAGAAATGACTTGGAGATGAAAAGGTGCAACAGGGTACACTGCAGAGTCTGGAGTCTGCACTGTGGCTTGGTTCAGGGCAGGACTAGGATGCTTGTAAAGTTGTTTGTGGTACCCAGAGACCTTTGGGGAAATCTATTAGCCCTGAAAATGAAGAAAAATATGCTTCTTGTCTTCCTAACAAGCTTGTTGTTTACTTCTAATTCTAGAGAAGACCCAATATATAAAAAGGAGAAGGTTCATTAGATACTAGTCATAAGTGAAGTTTTAAAAAATAAAATCCCAGTTTCATGGAATCAAGACGGAGAAGGAATAATTGAAAATTTATTTGGAAGAAAAACATCTAGGGTTCTAACTCACCATGAACTAAAAATAAATGTAGTGTCTGTTAAATTTAGTTGATTGAAGAATGGAGAAAAAAAGTAGGAAACTAAATGTGTAGTGTTTAACAACCTGCAATAAATCTTCTATACTTGTTTATGTTTTCAAAACATTTATGATAATTTTTTTAGGTGTATACAATGGGAAGTTTGGGTAGTGAAATGGAATGATTAGACAAAAGTGACAAAGATAGGTAGAAGATGGATCCTTTGAGGAAGGCTAAAGAAATTGAGGTGAATGAAACTAGAGGGTACAGATGAGTGATCTTTATTTGCTTTTACCAACATAAAGGATATTAAGCACTTATGTGACAGAGTAGCTGACAACTTCTTTATATCCATAGAGGATGAATTAAATGGACATCAGCTTACTTGAAAGGATGAGAGATTTCCTTTTTGTAAGAGAACATTAGGACTTTTATGTTAATGAAAAGCAGGATGCAGCTGGGCGTGGTGGCTCATCGCCTCTAATCCCAGCACTTTGGGAGGCCGAGGTAGACAGATCAGTTGAGTGCAGGAGTTTGAGACCAGCCCGGCCAACATAGTGAAACCTCATCTCTATTAAAAATACAAAAATTAGCCAGATGCAGTGGTGCATGACTGTAATTCTGGCTACTCGGGAGGCTGAGGCTGGAGAATCGCTTAAACCCGGGAGGCGGAAGTTGCAGTGAACCAAGACTGTGCCACTGCACTCCGGCCTGGGTGAGAGTGAGATTCTGTCTCCAAAAAAAAAAAAGTTTGACACCTGTTCATAATAGCTAAGAAATATATTTTTAAACCTTGAAAACTGAGGAAAAACTGACATTTCCTTGATGGGTAAATACAAGAAAGGAAGTGGTTCAGAACATATTCTCAGATCTTTTCCAGCTCACCGAGTTTACTAATTGAGAATAATGAACATATTTGTTTTCAAAATTTTAAATATAGTGATCATAAATCTATTCTAAGAAGTCGCTCAATTCTAATGCCATGCAATTCTAGTTAGGTGAATTTAAATTTAAATGATTCCATCAAATGCTAGAGTATCTGTATTTGTCACACTATCACAATTGTTTAAGTAGTATAAATAAATGATGACTATAATTCATGTCATTATAATTATTGAGAGCAATAGCCAGGCCAGACTAGGGAACTCAAAGCAGGATATCTCCTAATGGCAATGGCCTTAAGAAAGAACACATTCTTTCCATGGAGAGTCTGGGATGCATCAAAACAGTCAAACAATTATAACCCAGTGTGTCATCCTGGAAGCCATTCAGCGACCCAAAGACGAATACTTAATACTCAAGAAATGTGAAGACAAGAAGACAACAGCTGAGTAAATTTTTAGATCTGCTGCTATTTGCTCTTTGTATTATTTTCTCATCTTTGCTTTACAAGGGATTATGAAGTAGGTACATGTTGTGTTTAGCTCAATTTATTCTTTTACTCAGTTCTAGCTTTCATTCTTGTAACTCTTATTCTCCTACTCTGTTAAGCTCTTACTCTGTCTCTTGAAGCAACCAATCCTTGATAATCCTTCTTGGGTAATGATTCAGCTTAAAAATGGATCACTTATTTCTTCATTAAGACTCTTATGTCTTGCATGCATAAGATCTCCACTAAGGAAAACCAGCTGGCAATTTTTTTCGTTTGTCTGCAGTAGCTCAATGGAATATCCTTCCTGTACCAATGTAAGCAAAACTAGGGACTTCAGTATGTTAACCTAAAAAGAAAGCAACTCTAGTGCTGCAGTATGTTAACCTAAAAGAAAGCAACTCTAATGCTAAAAGGAAATATTTTTGGGCACTTGAGCTTTTAATATTGCACATCTAGACAAACTCCTACTTTGCCATCACTTGCCCTTTATCATAATGAACCATCTTAGTCTCCTGTTGAATTCAGTAATTCAATTTCCCCTTCTCTTTTTTTCTCATCTATTTCCTTTCTGATTTAAAAAATGTATTTAACTTAAAAAAAGTTCACCTTGCCTCTGTGTAGGCCCTGTCTTTGAGTAAACTTTACACAGAATCTCGTATTTTTTTGAAAGACCTAATAAACCCTCTTTTATTTTTGTTCTTTTCCTTGTAAATTCATTAAAAGTGAAATTTCCATTATTTCTTTTGCTATTCTGAGTTGTAAGTTTTTGCTATTCAAATTTCAGTTTGGAGGAAGCACCACATATATTTCCACTTCATAGCATATTTTTATTATTCCTACTTCATGGAAGCCTTAATAGCATTTTTTGCTACAAGGCTATTTTTTTCTCTTAGTGATTAGAAGGATTTATTTTTGTCTTTTTTTTTTTTTGCCCATTTCTAGACAAGTTTTGGTTAGTTTATAGTTCAGGTCATGAGAATTTAGATGTAAATCATATAATGGTTTGCACAGTTCTTACTTAAAATTGTTCTGATAACCTTAGATTCTCATTTTATTTATGTTCAATTTCTTAATTTTTTCAACATAATTAATGTATATATTTTCACCTTTATATAATCTCTAAGGTTTAGTGCACTGTTAAGCACTTGATAGATACTGCATAAATACTTGTTGAATGAATGAATAAGCCAAGAAATCTTCCCAGCATGGTTTTTGAGTTGCTTTATAGTCAATACAAAGAATCATTGTATGTGAAACTGGACCCCACGAGTTTTATATGTATATGTGGGGAGATAAAACCCATGCATTTTTGTTGGATAAAACCCACTGGAAAATACTGTAATGGAAGTTATAGTTGTAAGAATTCAGGTAAAGGAAGAAGTCAGAAAACTGAGGTATCCTGAAAGTAGAAATTGAATTAGAAATAGAGTGTTTGAGACTCCCCAGGTAGCTGATAAATTATAGACTTTCTTCAAATGTTCTTACCCTTTCTGTAGAATGAAAATCTGTATGTGATACCAAAATTGCATTTGCTCTGGTGAATATGGATTCCACAGAAGCAAGAATTCTTGTCAATGCTATAAACCCAACCTTTGGAATCATGTCTGGAATCCTGGGCACTCAAGATATTTTTTGAATTAATGAACAAAATCATTCAGAGAACCACTCAGGAGTTATATACCTAGCATAATTACTTTTCTAAGAACATGTTGGTTGACTAATGATCATTGTTTCCTTATTGACAGTCATTAGTAGCCATGCTTGGTCCTACATGTAACTGGAGTCAGAAGTTACTAATGTATAGTTACAGAGCAAAAGTCAGGATGCACTGTCTCTCCCCATTCCCTCAATATCTCTTCCACCTTCCTGACAGGCTACTTGAAATCCCTCTGTAGATTCATTAGTTTAAGATTTTCCTTTTTCCCATAAAGCACTTGTTCACAGTAAGAAAGCTGTGCTGTATGGAATAATAGCCTTCAAAAATGTTCATGTCCTAATTTCTGGATCTGGCGAAAAGGCACAGATATGAATAATTTAAGAATCTTGATTTACTTGGATTATCTGGACCTTCCCAGTGTAATTACAAGGGTCCTTATAAGAGGAAGAGTCAGAGAGGAGATGCAATGACAGAAGTTGAGATTGGAGTGATGCACTTTTCAGAGGCAGAGTCATGAGCCAAGCAAGGAATGGAGGCATCTTCTAGGAGCTGGAAAAGGCAAGGAAACGGATTCTTTTGTAGAAGCTCAAGGAGGAATGCAGCTTTGTTGACACCTTGATTTTAGCTCTGAAAACTCACTTTAGGCTTCTTTCTTTTAGAACAATAAGAATATAACTCTGTGTGTGTGTATGGTAAGCCACTAGATTTGTAGTAGCTTGTTACAACAGCAATAGTAAACTAATGTAACAAGTATTTACTGTAAATAACTTTGGAAGTAAAAAGTTCTTGGTCCCAGTATAAATTTTCCCACCAATTACCTTTGTGAGGCTGAGCAGATTGCTTCCTATATTTCTTCCTTTATGAATTATTTATAAAACATAAATGTTGGACAAAATCAGGAACATTCCATTGAACAATGAAACTCTAATGGTTTATTTCTGGCAGTTCTTCATCCTTAAAGAATTGTAATATTGTCACACCTCCCCATGCTGGGACCTGGCCACCATTCTTTAGTTTATTTTCTGGACTTAATCTCCATTACTCAATCATCTTCTTCTTCCAGAGTGCAGATACAGACACTGTCTGGCTCTTTTCACTCAGTATTTTATTTCTGTCACTTTTATTCACTCCAAATGTATTTCGATAAAAAAGAGAGACTGCCTTTATGTGACATGGTTTTTATCTTATGGTATCCTCTGGGTGTGTATATCTACATTAGAGGAGATTATTTGTTTCAGCTCATTACATCTTTTATATAAAAATTGAGATTAAAAAATCACTTATAAAATGCAGTGGTTTCTTCCTAGAAGCCTTTTATTGACTTTAAAATGAATAAGACCCCATATTTATTTTTATGACATCTTATATAAATGTTTATTTGAGTGGTTAAATAAGTACAGAATTGAAATAGAGATAGTGTGATAATTCCTGATTGGCATGTTGTTAATACACTGTTAATATAAACCTTACTGAATTATGATGTACTCTCTTGACTCCAGTGTCATTCTTCAGTCCCATTAATGTATGCCTTCATTCAACAAGCGTGATACACTTATTATATGACTGTGTTGGTCACAACTGGTTATGGTGATGATGGTGGGAGCTACCATTGTGGATCAGTCATGGCTTCTGTATCCAAGAGTCTACATTTTAATTGGAGAAATGGACATTTCTATAACTGTGAGAAGCAGAGTAAAATAAATGCTGATGGTGCGATGAGAATACAGAATCTTGGTCACATTGGGAAGATTTCACACATAAGTGAGAATTTGGCTGGGATTTTGAGAATTAGATTTTGTGAATTGGAGAATAGAATAAGAGAAATTTTGAAATTTAGAAAAAGAAGGGAAACGTCTAAAGTCTAATCAAGCAATATAAATAGTAGAACAGCTGTATGCTGTGCATGAGTAATTGTTAGGTGGCTCATGTCACTGGTTGAAATCATATCCATTGATAAGTAATCATAGTGATAAGTTTTTAAAGATGACCTTATATCTCACCCAAATAGAACATCCTGGGAAGGATCAAATAGGAAATATTCATGTAACACAAAAGCAGAGAAGAGATAGGTCTAAGGATGGAATTAATTTAATAGTAGTAGTTTTGAAAACCCTAATGCCAAATAGAAGCCAGCTGACCCCTCTAAGTAGAAGTCCAGCATACATGTGATGAGGGTTATTTGGCTGTGTGAGATGTTAATATGACACTTATTTTCATGGGTGGAGGCTTTCTTTCTTGAACATGAATACTTGCCTAGGTAATTCTTTCTCATTTTCTTTCTTCCTTTAGGTAAGTAACATGAAAACTGATCTTGGAGTCTGAGGCAATGAATGGAATGAATCACTCTGTAGTATCAGAATTTGTATTCATGGGGCTCACCAACTCATGGGAGATTCAGCTTCTACTTTTTGTTTTCTCCTTGTTGTTCTACTTTGCAAGCATGATGGGAAACATTGTCATTGTGTTTACTGTAATCACGGATGCTCATCTGCACTCCCCCATGTATTTCCTCCTGGCTAACCTCTCAATCATTGATATGGCATTTTGCTCAATTACAGCCCCTAAGATGATTTGTGATATTTTCAAGAAGCACAAAGCCATCTCCTTTTGGGGATGTATTACTCAGATCTTTTTTAACCATGCTGTTGGGGGCACTGAGATGGCGCTGCTCATAGCCATGGCCTTTGACAGATACACGGCCATATGTAAACCTCTCCGCTACCTGACCATCATGAGCCCAAGAATGTGTCTCTACCTTTTAGCCACTTCCTCAATCATTGGCCTTATCCACTCATTGGTCCAATTAGTTTTTGTGATAGATTTACCTTTTTGTGGTCCTAATATCTTTGACAGTTTTTACTGTGACCTCCCTCGGCTCCTCAGACTTGCCTGCACAAACACCCAAGAACTGGAGTTCATGGTCACTGTCAATAGTGGACTCATTTCTGTGGGCTCCTTTGTCTTGCTGGTAATTTCCTACATGTTCATTCTGTTCACTGTTTGGAAACATTCTTCTGGTGGTTTAGCCAAGGCCCTCTCCACTCTGTCAGCTCATGTCACTGTGGTCATCTTGTTCTTTGGGCCACTGATGTTTTTCTACACATGGCCTTCTCCCACATCACACCTGGATAAATATCTTGCTATTTTTGATGCATTTATTACTCCTTTTCTGAATCCAGTTATCTACACATTCAGGAACAATGACATGAAAGTGGCAATGAGGAGACTGTGCAGTCGTCTTGTGCATTTTACAAAGATTTTGTAAATAGGTTGGCTGTGAAGATGTGTAACTATGAATTATTCCTCATGCTGGTTGCATAAAAGAAACTATGCAATTTCAGAGAAATACCGAAGACTCAGGCCATATTATATGCCTGAAAATCTATTAAATTATGGTAACAATTTCACCGTTAAATTAGAAGTGGTGTTATTCTTTGCACCATGTGCATCAAAGTGCTAAATGTTAAATCTTAATGTCTTTTGTAACCTACCACTTTGAAAGACCTTGTTCTAGGTGAGTGCCATGTAATTGAACAAATAATAATACTATGTATCTTTTTCTCTATTGGACAGATTATCGATAGACAAACTACACATTCAATTAACCTGTTTACTACCTAACTCTCTTTTTTTTTTTTTTGAGATGGAGTCTTGCTCTGTCACTCAGGCTAGAGTGCAATGGCATGATTTCAGCTCACTGCAACCTCTGCCTCTCTGGTTCAAGGGTTCAAGCAATTCTCCTGCCTCAGCCTCCTGAGGGTTGGGATTACAGGCACCCATCACAACCCCTGGCTAATTTTTGTATTTTTAGTAGAGATGGAGTTTCACCATGTTGGCCAGGCTGGTCTTGAACTCCTGACCTCAAGTGATCCATCTGCCTCTGCCTCCCAAAGTGCTGGGATTACAGGCATGAGCCACCACACCTGGCCTGTTTAGTATCTAACTCTCTTGATTTTAATTCTTTTTGTTCCTAAAGTGTTTGCTTTGTGTTGCTCCAGTCTCTACATATTTTACCTCCTTTTTAGGCTTCTCTGTCTGGCCATCTGGAAAATTGTTAGTCCTATATTTAGAATTAGAGTGGATTACCAACACCATTTGTTGTAATCCCTTCAAACTACATGTACTAAAATCCAAGAATTGAGTGGTGACTACAGTTTGCCCAAAGGCACACAGCTGGAAATCATCAAAGAGAGCCAGGCACCAGAAACCGTGACTTTCACTTTCAGATCAACTTTGTTTTTGATTTGATGCTCATATTCCACTCTTCCAGCTTTTCCTGTAGGACTAATTTTGAGTCTATTTGAAGAGAGAGCTTTATACTAATCATTTCTATTACGTCCTACCAGGAAATCATTAGCACTTAGCACTTCTTTATCATTTCTGAATCCTTCCCTAATTTCTGCCACCATAATACATTGCCTTGTTCAAGTCCTACCAAAGCTGAATTTTAAATCATTACTTTACATTTTCTTGTTCAAGTTCTACCAAAGCTGAATTTTAAATCATTAATTATATAAAAAAAAATGCTTGAACTTTATTATTAAACAGTGTTATTTTGTCTATGGTAGTATTCACAGAGACCTTTGATTAAATTCTATTTTATAGGTTTGAAGTTCATTCCATTGCTTACAGTGGATGATGTTTCTTATTTTGGGAAACAGAAATGTGATTGGTGAATTACATAAGTTACACTAAGGTATTTATGCCTCTTTCTCAGAAGGATAAATTTCAAATATTTCAGCAAAAATGGAAAGATTTGTAAAAGATGTGTGAAAATTCTTTTTCCCCAAATTCTGTGAATTTTAATCTAACATGGTTACTAAAATATAGAAACAAACCTATTAATTGAGGTTTCCATCATGAGGTAATGAAGCTCTGATCGCCTTTCATCATTTGTGTCCTAGGGGAGATAATTCATGTTACTCATATAGTGCTTCTTATGGTCCAGGTACTCTTCTAAGTGCTTTATTTGAATCTTATGATGCAGATTCATTCTCTCATTATACCCATTTTAGAGAGGAGGTGTCTGAGGCAGAGTTGCTAAATATCCTCAAGATTATGAAGTAGTAAGTCTGGACTCAAAGTCTGCTAGTTTGAATTCAGAGTTTGTTCTTATAACCTGTGCACTATAATGCATCTCTGTCAATAAAACGTATCAGAATAGCTTCTTTACTTAAAAGCAATCTCTATTTGTGGGCTCTCTACTGAGTGACCCCATCACCAGCAAACCCAGCATTTATGGGGTCAATTTATTTACAAAAATTTATTGTGTATGTATACCCATTCAGCCGTTTTGTTGTAGGCTGTCACTATAATCAGGGCAGTTGAAATGCCAGAATTTCCCTGATATAGTATAGAGGAAAATGTATAAAGTCTCCAGAAGATATTAAATAATTCCTAACTCTACCTTTTTGGGAGGAGCTGGGAGGACACAGCATCACTGTGACTGCTTTAATAAATGGCAGAAGGAAGGACTGTGCAACAATTCTAAGTACATATACACATAGTAATGATGTACCAGTACTTTGCTCAGACATACCTATGACCATTTATTTGCACAATTAAACACCTGGAAGAAAAAGGAATATCATAATATTTAAAGGACTGTTGGACACAGAGTTGACATTTACTCCCAGATTCCTAGAAGGGTCATCACTCCTCTTTTGAGTGGAGGCATTTGGGAGTTGGGTAATATGTGGAGTCCTAGTTCAGATGCGGTGCATGTTGGGTTCACCAAATGACAACCTCCCAGTGATCATTACATCATTTCCTGAATGTATAATTGGAAAAGATACACTTTGTAGTTGGTACAACTCTACACTTGTTCCTTGTCCTGTGGGTGACAACTATGATAGTAGGGAAGTCACGAAACTACTGTCCTATTCCCCAGTCTAAAATAGTATTTCTTTTTTCTTTTCTTTCTTTTTTTTTTTGAGACAGAGTCTCACTCTGTTGCCCAGGCTGGAGTGCAGGGGCACAACCTGTAACTTCCATCTCCTGGGTGCAAGCAATTCTCCTGCCTCAGCCTCCCGAGTAGCTGGAATTATAGGCACATGCCACCACACCCAACTAATTTTTGTATTTTTATTAGAGACAAGGTTTCACTATGCTGGCAAGGCTGGTCTTGAACCCCTGGCCTCAAGTGATCCACATGCCTTGGCCTCCCAAAGTGCTGGAATTACAGGTGTGAGCTACCACACCCAGTCTAAATAGTATTTCAAAAATTATACTGCATTATGTAGGGGTACAAATATCCCAAAGATACAGAAATAGTTCCTATCCTATCTCCATTTAATTCACCAGTGTGTCGCCTATAAAAGCTAGTCACTTCCTGGAGAATGCCAACAGACTGTTGTAAATCTATCCCGGCAGTAGTCTAAATTGCAGATGCTATGTCAAAGGTGGTATCTTTGCTAGAGCAGATTAATGTAGACCTGGGTATATAATATGTGATCATTGGTCTGGTAAACTTTCTTTTCCACCTCTTTTGGAAAGGAGAATTAGGAACAGTTAGCATTCACTTGGAATGGCCAACACATACATTTGCTGTCTTACTCTGTCATAACATAGCCTGAAAAGACCTGAACCATTTGGATATTTTATAGATTGTCTTAACTGTCTGTTATATTAATAACACTATGCTGTCAAACCAGATGAAGAAGTGGCAAGCATTAGATACTTTAGTAGTACGCATATGCTCTCAAGAGAAGGAATAAACTCTATAGAGAACCGTGAAATTGTCACATCATTAAAATTTTGAGAGTTTGATAGTCCAGTCCATGCCAGGAGGTCCTTTTCAAAGCAAAGGAAAATGTTTTTTCCTTCTTAATTTTTTATTTCAATAGGTTTTGGGGTACAAGTGGGTTTTTTTTGGTTACATGGATGAATTATATAGCAGTGAATTCTGAGATATTTGTGCACCCATCACCTGAGTGGTGTGCATTGTACCTAATGTGTAGTTCTTTTTTTACCCCTAGCCTCCCACCCACTCTCCCACTTCTGATTTTCTAAAGTCTATTATATCACCCTGTCTGACTTTGTTTACTCGTAGCTTAGTTTCCACTTACAAGTGAGAACATAATGATTTTGGTTTTCCACTCCTGTGTTACTTCACTTAGAATAATGGCCTCTAGCTTCATCCAAGTTGCTGCAAAAGACACACTTCATTCCTTTTCGTGGCGGAGTAGTATTCCATGGTATATATATTTTTTGTCCATTCATTTGTCGATGGGAACTTAGGTTGGCTTTCTGCATCTTTGCAATTATGAATTGTGCTGCTATCAATATATGTGTGCAAGCATCTTTTTCATATAATGACTTCCTTTCCTTTGGGTAGATACCCAGTAATGGGGTTGCTGGATCAAATGTTAGATCTACTTTTAGCATTTTAAGGAATTTCCATACTGTTTTCCATAGAGGTTGTACTAAATTTACATTCTCACCAGCAGTGTATAAGTCTTCCCTTTCCCCCACATCCGTGCCAACATCTATTGTTTTTTGACTTTTTAGTAATGGCCATTCTTGCAGGAGTAAGGTGGTGTCTCGTAGTTTTGATTTTCATTTCCCTGCTGATTAGTAATGTTGAGCATTTTTTCATACATTTGTTGGCCATTTGTATATCTTTTTTTGAGAAATGTCTATTCATGTGCTTTGCCCACTTTTTGATGGGATTATTTTATTTTCTGCTGATTTGAGTTCCTTGTAGATTGTGGATACTAGTCCTTTGTTGGATGCATAGATTGCAAATATTTTCTCCCATTCTATAGGTTGTCTATTTACTCTGATTATTTCTTTTGCTGTGCAGAAGCTTTTTAGTTTAATTAGGTCCGATTTATTTTTGTTCTTGTTGCATCAGATTTTGAGGTCTGAGTCATGAATTCTTTGCCTAGGTTGATGTCTACAAGAGTTTTTCTGATGTTGTCTTCTAGAATTTTTTATAGTTTTGGGTCTTATATTTTAGTCTTTGGTTCACCTTGACTTGATTTTTATATGAGGTGAGAGACACAGATCCAGTTTCATTAATCTACATGTGACTTGCCAGTTTTCTCAGAACCATTTATTGAATAGGGTGTCCATTCCCAATTTATGTTTTTGTACGCTTGGTCAAAGCTCAGTTGGCTGTACATATTTGACTTTATTTCTGGGTTCTTTATTCAGTTCCATTGGTTCATATGCCTACTTGTATACAAGCACCACACTGTTCTGGTAACTATTGCCTTGTAGTATAATTTGAAGTCTGGTAATGTCATGCCTCCAGGTTTGTTCTTTTAATCAAAGGAAAATTATTGCATCTTGCACCTTCTGTCACTAATAAGAAAGAACTATACCTGGTAGATTCCTTCCATTTCTGGAAGAAGCATAGGCTATAACCAGGAATACTACCACAACTCATATGCCGAAAGCCATGAAAGTCTGTCAGCTTTGAGTAGGGTGCAAATCTAGAAAAGGTTTTTCTGCAAAAAATCCAGACTTTGTGCAAATAGCCCTACTTCTTGGGTCATACTACCTGGCATACCCAGGTATTAGAAAAATTGGTGGTGAAAAGAGAAGAAATGAGTTTTATAGCAAGCACCAGTTGGATAATTACAACACAAAGCTTTAGGGGCTTAAGCAATCATTTTTCTAAAAATTACAGAGTAATTAACACATAGACATGTAATTCCACAAGATGTCATATTATACCACATTAAAGATATGGAGGTATGAGAGTTAGCACATGACCATTAGATCTACTGGCCTCTTCACATACTGCACCACCCAGAATCTGCTCATCTAATGAAGCAATGAAATGGCTGTTATCAAAATAGTCCTCATGGTGAGCTACAGGAAAGAGGATTTCAACAGCTCTGTTTTATATTAATTACCTTTTGCTTCCCCTCCTTTCCCACTAATTCACATGAAAGACACTGGCGGCTACCATTTTGGGTTTAGATTACTCTGCAAAGACATAACAACTCATTTCTTCTATTTTGCTGACTTTCTTCTGCCCTGATATTATTTGTCCTGCCCTGTTTGTCCCCTGGATAAAAAATGAGTGGATTCAGACAAGAATAGCACAGCTTCCATTTGTCTCTCCAGTGTCACTCTTAACCCTTCTCCACCCAGTTTTGTGCCTTTATTAAGCTCTTCTTCAGTTACCTAATTTGAATGTGCCATCTCTTGTCCTGGCAGGATCCTGACTGACACAAGTGTACAAAATTGAAAGTAAAAGTACCTTGTTGCTTGCACAACAATCTCGTTGTCAGAAGTACTTATTGCAAAAACTTTATTGTCTATTTATTCAGATTTATATGCACAGCAGCATAGTATGTGCTGTATTGGTATCCACTGTTTCACTCAATGGTGTGCTGTGGTTGTCTTTAACTATATAGATATCAAACCTGCTTTACAGTGGC